CCCCAAAACCCCAAAACCCCAAAACCCCAAAACCCCAACATTCCTTCACACAATCCCATTTTATAAAATTTAACACTCAGTTCAAAAATGCCTTCTCTTGTCCCATACCTTAGCCCACCCAGCAAGATTTCTACTATGTCCATCCCAGCCAGGCCCAGGCTCGCCTGGGCCTGGCTGGGAGTGATAGTAGGGATCCTTGGGTTTTTATGGTAAGGGATTTTGGAGAGATTTTTAGGAAAGTGCAGTGTCAGTATTGAGAAGTGGGAAAATAGTCAAGTGGCTTCGACGATTGTGTAAGGAGTGGGAGTGAAGGTATAGGTGGAGTCCGTATGCGTTGTATGACTCAGTGGTGACGCAGAGTTTTGTGATGCAGACTGTGAACAGGTTGGACTGGTGGGTGGGAAAGTTGGATGTTTTGTGGAAGAGAAGGCAGTTTATGTATTAGTACTGCTAGAGTATGAACTAAAGTCAATACCTAGTATGATACTACCAGGACGAATAGACTCTCTATATTCTTATATGCTCATAACTTTCTTCTTTAAGCTCCTTACATTAATTTATCTAAACTATTTTGAATAGCTTGATAATAATCTCCATAAATGTAAGCATTCGTCGAGACCAGTATCTTAAAAGTTTAGCCCAACACAGCAACAAGTGCGGTGATGGGAATCAGCAGGCTTAATTTAGACAGTGGAAATTTCGGTAATTTTGAAGATGAATATTTAGATTGGAACAAATCAGCTCCTTTGCAATTTGCTTACCATGGATCAGATATCACCGAAGACGAAAGATTTGTGTATAGTTTAGGTTATTACTACTCTGGAGGTAAGATTATTGATCAACTTTAGGTTCGCTCGGAGACATAGAGGTAATTTGTGTTCAATAACAAGTAAACAACTCTATAGATCTTTAAAATCGGTATACCACTCTTAATACCTAGACACTTCAAATGGAGATGTAAGCAAAACTCTTAAGTTGACTGGATACAAATGTTCAGACCCTCAAAAGTGCAAGCTCAAGGTCCATGAGAATCAAATTCTGTTCATTTCCATAGGAGATGAGTCTTCTAAGGGATATGTCTGAAAATATCCCGGATCAGGTTCTTTCGAATGTTTAGGGTCCGTACTCTTAAGCTGAAATTCATTGATCTTTGAACTATTTTTCAGGATTTCAAGATTCTTTCTTTAGATGACAACTTGTGTTTTTCATTAAAGCAATATTATTTAACCCCTTTCTTAACTATTCTTCAAAATATAATTTCTTATCGACTCAAAGACCTCTAAATCAAGATTTTGTATAGAATACATGGTAAGCTAGTGCTATTTCTTCAAAAATGTCCCGAGACTTATCACTAACTCCCTACTAGATAATACAATTCCAGTATCAATCCATCCAATTGACAGCGATACTTTGTATGTTGTCTCAGACTCCGGTCTAGCAATAGAGACAGTCAGTTTCCTCAAAGTGAAATTCAGGTATTTCAAATCCAATCTTTTAATTCGCGCAACTAGCAATTATAGTGGACAACAACTTGTTTGGGGAAAGTCATTGAAATGTGATATTATTGGCTTATGACAATTAAAGAAAGCATCCTCTGATCTTTGGGAGAACAAGGAATCTATGTTCACATTCTTACATTATGCCTCAACTCCATTACTGTTGCAAATAAGAATTGAAGATGGCTCTTCTTTAAGACAGGCAAGTACACAGTATCATGGATAGGTTACAATTTATCCAAATAATCTCAGAGATGCTGACTGATTAAGAGTGTATTTTAGCAAAGTGTTCATGATATCTAAAAATATCTATGATAACTCTTATATCATAATTTATGATCCTTCAAATAATCACTTCAGTTATCACAGGACTGCTGTTGATGTTGTGGCTAGATGGGTTAATGTTCAAAAAGGATACCTTAAGTAAGAAACCTTTGTTTTTCAGTCTTTCAATCTCTGATAAATTCTTAGAAGCACCAATATATTTGGGAGAATTATGAGAAATGGAAAAGAGACCTCTCTCATCTACCGGATTCCATGTAATTTTGTTTCAAAGAATACATAGATTTCACTACGAGCAATGGCTTTGACCCTGAGATACTTAAAACACATGATGGCCTAAGCAAAGATGATCCAGATCTAAATGTAAGTTGCATTGATGATATTTCTAGAATCTTGCCCCAACTCCAAACTTAGAATATGGCCAAGAGATTTCATTTGCATTGTAACCTTGGAATTAATCTATTAGAGATGCTTCGTCGATTAACCCTGTTATTGGAGCTAGGTCTTTGATACCTCCAAGTTTTGAGATTTATCATCAATATTACTATGGTAAGATACTTTGGCTCAGACATAGAAAATGTGTACAATTTGAGCCCTATTACAGAAACTGGGTTGATATCCAAAAATGAGTATGAAATCTCAGGTATTCGATCGAATAAGTTCTAGATGCTAATCTTCCATGTACTAATAATTCTGAGACTCGCTTGTTTTACCAAGTTGTGAAGTATGAAAATGGCCCTACTCCAGAAAAGGTCACTGTTGATCAAAATTCAGGTACTTTAAAGATAGTAGCTCCTGAAGTAAATGACACTAAAACTTTCAATTTTTACTTGGAATACTATTTCCAAGGATTAGAGGGTAAAGCTCAGAAATAAATTCATCACTCTTGAAGTTAATCCTTGCCATATCGAGAATTGACAAATGTGAAGCCAACAAGACTCTCGTAAATGCGATATATGAGATAAAGGATATCAAGTTGCAGACAAAGCAATCTGAGAGGAGGAAGGAAATGATGTAGACCCGATGACCACTACAACAACAGCAATAATAGTTGCAACAGGAGTCATAGTTAGCATATCTTTCTTCACAAATGCTGGGTCTCTTCACTCGATATGGTCAATTTTGGGTCAATTCCAGCTAATCATTCTTCTTCCCCTCACTAATGCTTACTTACATGAAGAAGTAGTAAATTATTGCTCTGGGATGGACTTTGCTTTAGTATCAATGAAATTCGTGCCAGGGTCAAGTGTTGGAGAGTATACTTTTCTACCTTCCCTTCTCAGTAGAGATCAAGATAATTCTTATCTTGAAGAGATCGGACTGGAATCACAAAGTGGACTTGTAAATATCTTACCCAGTCTGGTCTTTTTGTTAGAAGCTACCATTATCTATGCCATGCTTGAAGTCCTCGCAAGAACAATTCTCTATAAATACAACAATTGGATGACAAAGCTAGTGGAAAAGGTTATAGAGTCGATGAAGCTATCTTTTTACATAAGATTTTTCCTGGAATCATATGAATTCATGCTACTGTCTTCGACCTCAGAGCTTAGAAAAGCAGATATGAGCTCTGCAGAAACTACAGTGTCTTTCCTAATCTCATTGGTAATTTTTGTTGGACTAATCGTTATGCTGACTCTTCTATTTCTGATTATTTACTCTCAAGATATTATCAGGAATGGGCTTGAAAGAAAGTATTATGGAGTAATCTTCGAAGGGATCAAGACTACAAGCAAAGCAAAATGGTATAGGTTAGTTTCAATTATAGGTATGAATTCTGGAGAACAGTCAGGAAGATTGTATTAGTATCCTTCTTATTCTTTGCTTCATCACTTAATACTAAGGCAGTCATAGCGCTTTGCACAATCATGCAGCTGGCATATTTTTGATATACAGTCTATCTAAGACCGTTTATTGATACGAAGGATAACGCAGTTGAAATAGTAAACGAGGCAATCTTCTTTTTGCTATTCTGTTTACTCAACGGCTTTAACACACAAGATGTGTGGGATGAAGGAATCAAAACTCTCTTTATATCGATATTTTTGGCAAATTCAATGATCATCTTTGGAATTACAATAAGTAAAAATTTGCATAACCTCTAGTTGTATTGATGCTGAATTTATTTTCTAAATTTATGAGAAAAAGAGCTATAGCAAAGATTGGAGCTGACCCTATCAGTATGCTCTAAGCTAACATCTTTAGAAAATCAGAAACAAGATGAATCTCGTGAAGAAAAGCGTAAGAATGAGTTATATCTATTAATCTTCAGCTTCTTTCAAGCTAAGCCCAAGAATGAATGAAGCTACTCAAAGAGATATAGATTTATCAATGAGAAAGATGAAAGAAGACGAGTAAGAATACCTCCCTAACTTCACTCATAGAAGTTTCAAATGTCGCTATTCCAAGAACGACATCAGTAGATGCGACATCTCCAACACCTACTCCACCCACATAAACACCCCAGTCGAAGAACAAAAATCCCCCTCTCCATCATTCCTCCCGCCTATAAATCGGTAAAATAATTAATAAAATCCATCCTTCTGAACAGCTTCGGGGTTTTGGGGTTTTGGGGTTTTGGGG